GCCTAGTTAGAGCCTTGACCACTAACAGATAGTATTCATCATGGTACTAGAAGGTACTCTGCGGGTTACCAAAGGAGAAAGGTAAATACAAATGCAGCTACGAATCTCTGATCTGCAACAGTGACCTGCCTGCAAGATATGCTGGTACAATAATGACACACAGCTTATGAAAGTAACCAACCAATATCGGATTTGATTTAAGGCCCACTCCAGGGAATAGAACCCATACCTGACACTGCTCCAGTGGCCAGGAACCTGAGACTAAATAGGTCAGGAACATACAGGAGAACCAAATACTGAGAAGGCTAGGCTGATTCCATGGACAGACTTCAAACTGGCAGTTAAGGAGACTAGGCCTAAAAACTGGGCAAGTCCCCCAGGCAAGTCAATTAGTAATAGAAAAAACTCCTAGCTCCAGCATTCACACCCAGGTAAGGGAAATGTCCCAGCCACCTGGCCTGAGGCAAGGCCAATGGGTCAGCAGCAGTTTCCAGACTTCCTCAGCTACTTCCTCAGCAACAGTTCCCAGACCTCCTCAGCAAGTTTCCAGCCTCCACACCCTGGAAATGGAATGTCCTTACAGACCCAACAGATTAACATAGAGATTACCCACCTGGAATTCCCTAATGTGCTTTAAATCAGACCTGCAAGCTCACTTGGGTGTCTCTCTATTCTGGTAATGGGAGACCCCAGCATGCTAGACTTCTGCAGAATAAACACTCTTTGCATTTACATGCTCTCTGAGTCTGGGGTATCATTCTTCTGTGAATCATGGACCCTTATAATACTACTGTTCTGCAAAGGGGATATAAGTATAAAATGATGTCTACAGACATTTTGCTATACTCATAGGTCAGCGCCTTTCTCATCCATCATCAGAGAAGCTTCCTCCTGCAGCAGATGGGAACAAATACAGAGACCCACAGCCAGACAAGGTAGAGAATGAGACCTTGGAACACTCGGCTCTAAATGGGATGTCTCCATCAACTCCCTCCTCTCAGGGCTCAGGGAACCATGCTAAAAAGGATGCAGAAAGAGTGTAAGAGCCTGAGAAGATGGATAGACATCCTTGCCTTTTCCTGAACATCAAAGAGATGGCTGCCAACGATTCATGTTTGCTGCAGATATTTGTAGAAATCCTCTAATTTGACTCAAGTGCCATTCACACCTAATTTAAGAGAATTTCCATCATGAATAAAAGCTGAATGTTTATCAAATGCTTCTGTACCTCTCAACTTAACTATCGTGATTAACTCCTTTATTTCGGTTATGTGGAATATGATCGTAATTGATTTTCTCATGTAGGAATGGATACCTGGCATAAACCTGACCAGGTCATGAACTGCCATTTGCTAGATTTGTCTTGATAATGATTTTGCCTCCACGTTCATAGGTGAAATTGATCACTAGTTTTCCCTTCTCATACTTCACTTGGTGTGTGATAAAGTTAACGAGGGAGTCCTCTTCTCTTTTGGCTCGGTGAAAAAGCTTCAGTTTATAATCATTTATTTCTTGATATTTGGCAGTGCTGATCCAAAGATTTTGTAGGCTTAGACCTTTTCTTTCTGGAATCACTGTAAACTTTTGACTATAAGTCTTTCGTTGCTGTGCCAACTTCTTTGTCTGTATTTTGGTAAGCTTAAGTTTTTAAAAGTTTTTTGATTTCTTCTGGATGCTACAAATGTTATTTTTTCAGTTGTCTATAAAATCCTATCTATTGAAACGTTATAGCAGAAATAGCTGCATTCTCCTTTGTTCTATATAAATTACTTTTTCTTTCTGTTAATCAACATTCCCAGGGATCTACCACTGATACAATCAATCACTGATTGTTGTTAAAGAGTCATTTTTTAAAAATTCCTTCTTGGTTTAATAAATATTTCCTTCTGAGGCTTGTTTTTTTTTTTTTCTAAATTACTAAGGTAGGTATATCCTTTTATATTTTTGAGACAGGATCTCTCCTGTGGCCAAGGCTGACTTCAAATGTACCACATAGCAGAACTGATCTTGCCTCCAACTCTTCCCAGGTGCTGGAATTTTGGGTGTCTGCCACCCTTCCTGGCTGAGATATATACTTCTCATATACAACCTCTCTCTGTAGACACATCGAAACGGATCAACTTACTCCGAGTGTTGGGTTTTGGGGCAGCCCATACATCTTATTGGGCATTTTCACAGTTGATTAATTCGTTACATTCCTGGTTTCTTCATTGACATGTGAATTATTGGGAATTGTGTTAGCTTTCTAAAGTATGAGGCTGCTTGATCGCTTTCTTACCATGTAAATAAAACTTTCAATTCTCTGCCTAGTAAAATACTAGCAATGTTTTTGCCATAACTTTTATCATACACATGTGTATTTTTACACATAAAGTTTCACTTGGTTTGTATGAAATTCAATATATTATGCTTCAGATGCAATTTTTTCTAACAGCATAATTCATTTCCTTCTTTAACCACTAAAATTGCCTTTGACTCGATAACTTTGTCCTTTATCTTTAATAAACACAATTAATGATATTTTGAATTATATTCATCATTATAGCCCTTTTTTGTTGCTAATACCATGGTATGAATGTGGTTATCTTTCGAAATTTTCTTTGGAGTCCTGGTTGGAGGTGGAGGGGCTGGATCTGGTGATGGTTGGTCTTTTTACTAACAAAATCCCAAAGCAGTGGAGGTATCACATGGAGATGGAGGATGCCTTGTGTTTTGTCTCTTTGTCTCCTTCTTATAAAGTCACCAGTACTCAGTCATGGGGGTTCTACCTGGCTGATTCTGTATAATCTGTGCTCCTGTGGACTGTAAAGGGCAAAGTGACCTTTGCAGTTGTATCAATGACTGCAGACACGCAGTTGGGAGAGACATAGGCTTCTGTGACTAACTTTGCCCTGCGTACCTCTGAAACAGTAAGAGCCTGAACAGGAAACTATCAAAGAGAACCTTGTAAATGTGATAAGGATGCTGAAATGTAACTCTCTACAACTGATGGCTTCTGGTAGCAGTACAAGTGGAGAAGGACTGTTTTCTTTAAGGGGTTGGCCACTGGGACTTTGGCAGCGCTCCAGTGAGTATATGGACTTTTTTCTTCTTTTCTGGAGGGGGGGGTCACCTAGGTGGACTTTCCTGGTGGGGATGGACCTAGGAGAACTAGGAAGTGAGTGTGATTGGGATGCATGATGTGAAATCTACAAATAATAAAAGTATTATGCTGGGGAAAAATTATTTTGGGGTCATTTCCTATGATGACTCAGTGAGGATTTCACATTCTAGATATATGCTAGACTGTTGTCTCATGAACTCTCACTTTCATGTACAACAGCCTCTGCATCTTTTGTCCTGAATTTTAATAATTCTCATTTAAGGCTCTCCTATATAAAGCCTGTCTATTGAGGGTTTTTGTTTGTTTTTTCTTTTGTTTTTTAGATCCTATTTCTTTTTCTCTAAGTTCTATTTTGGCCTTTCAAACATGTGATGCTTTATTTCCTACAGACATTTTAACTACCTTTTACTTGCAAATGTTTCATTCTATATTGCCCACGTGCTTCCATGCAGTCTGTCTCTGTTGTCTTATTTATGGGAATAATTACCTTGTGGGTTTAAACTTAAGGCATTCCCTAGGACAATTATTTGTGGCTCTGGTATCTTCCCAAATGGTTTATATGTCTCAGGTACTTATTGGAGACCACTTTATACAAACTTTATAGTGCAAAACTTTTGTTTTAGCCACAAATTGAATTTGTAATAGTCTGCAACTCTACCCAAGTATTCAGGTTTTCTTCTACCTTACTCTGTTAGTGTACAGTCATAATGGTACTTGCTTCAAGGAAAAACAATTTCCTTGAGATTTTCCACTTCAGATGGACTGTGAGCTTTGTGTTGGGCACACACTGTGTTCAGGGACAATCAAAATTAAACCTGAAACACTCTCAGGCAGAAGCTTCAGCATTTCTACTTGTAGAAGTTGGCTTTCAAGTTCCTTCATCCCTTAGGATACCAGCAACTTGAGTGTTCCTATTCTACCTAAAAGTTTGAGTTTCCAGTAGGAAAGGTGACCTGCTGAATAGAATCCACCATGTTACTGAAAAGACAATCTAATGTGTTATGGAAATTCTATTTCAAAGCATCTTTTCTTGGTTACTATTAACACCAGAGATTTTTCCATGTCTTAAAACGTCTTTGCAAACCAACATTTCAGTGGTCTTACTTATGGGTCTGCTGCTGGCTGAGCTGGGCGGTTCAATCTCCCTCTCAGGCTTGAGTCCTCTGTTGGGGTAGCCCATGTAGGAGCCAGGAGAGCAAGTGTCTAATGACACTGGTAGAAGTGTGCTAGGCTTTAAAGTCTGGACCATATGTTTGTTCTTTTGAGCAAATCAAGTTCCAAGGCCAGCTAGATGGATGAGAGAGGAAGGAGCTACACACTTACTTACAGACAGAAATGGCTATCAAGAGCGGCAGAGAGCTAGGGCTACTGTGCAATCTACCACATGGTGTTATCAGAACTCCTAACGAGGGGGCCTCTAGGGAAACGTGACATAGAAGCTGAATTGCAGATTAACTGATGGACTGGGTATGTTAATATCATTCAGTTATTGATAAGGGAGGAAAATAAGTTTAATTTTTAATACAGAAAGATCATATATAATTTAAAAAACAGGCATGACTTTCAGAAATAAGGTTTAGTTCAGTGTAGGAGGTACAGAGATCCTTGTGCTCACAGAGAAGCACTAGGCAAACCCAGAATGTTAAACACACATGGCTGTTCCTTCAAAGGAAGGGATGCACACTCACTGCTTCAGCTACCCTGGCTGGTGAGCCACAAGGATGTGCCTGTCTCTGCTTTCTCATCACTAGGATTAAAGACCTGCACCTCCATGCCTGGTTTTCATGTGGGTACCAGAAATCTGAACTCGGGTGCTCATGTTCTTGCTGCAAACACTTTACCAGCTGAGTTTGCTGCCTGTGTCACTTCTGTATCCAATAGGTCCCCAACATAGATACAGGTTTTGATAGATAATTTATTTTTAAATGTATGATAAATGGTGGGATTTTCAGAATCACAATATGTCTAATAATAAACTTATTGGAATTCCACACCTTCTGTTATTATGATATGTTTATATAACTGGTGAAGCTAGAGACAAACCAGGAGGCTAGTGCTTGATGGGAAGAGAATTTAAAACACATTCAGATACAAAAAAAAAATTAAGCATAATTCCAAAGTGTATCCTTTTTAACAGCCCTTCTTTAAGTCCATAGGTTAAATTCTACAAACTACATTCTACACAGCAAATAAATATGTCATTGCAATGGTGACATAGTGTGCCACTTGTGATCTTGATCCATGCATTGTTCATATTGTCCAAAAATGAGACTATTCCATTAAAGCTGAAAGAATATATTTTAGAGAGTCAATAGTAGACGAGGTAACAGGTTATACATGTTAGCCACTTTGTTAAGGCTATTGTATCACAACTGTGGTTTTGTAGACTCCGTGATACTAAACTGATGATTGGGTTTGGTAGCTTCTTGCATCAGCTCTCCCAACTGTCCAATTTGCTCATCTCGAAAGTCGTTGAGTTTTTCTTCTGGGAGAGAGGTGCCAAAACTTGCTGTTCCGGTTGGACTCTGTCTGCTGTCCTTAGCTTGTTCCCATAACACTGCTGCATATGTCTAGTAAAGACACAGAGAGAAAGGAATGGTTAGATTAAAAACATTCATGCACACTTCCTGAGTCACAGAGGACTGCAGCTTCTCATTCCCCAGTCACCAGCTGGGCTCCATCACTAAATTTTCTGCAGTTGATTAAAAAGATACAAACAGTCATGGTTTTAGTCTTCAGACATGATTTCAAGTAGATCTTATTTTAGGATTCTAAAGTGTCTTTTTTTTTTCAGACATCAGGAAAGTCTTAATCTGCAAATGAGTGGTAGAGATCTGCTTTAGAAGTGTGCATTGCCACTAGCCAGACCGTGTACAAAACCATGGACACCTAAGTACACACATGTTTCTGGGGCTATAACTTTTCATCCGGTTTTCAAAAGAGAACCATAGGTCTTAAAAGCTTAAAAGTGGGTCTCAGAATCCAGGAAGAGGGCTATTCCTCTCTCTGTCTTCACCTAAACATTTAATCACTACACAGACAAACTCTTTAAACCTCTTAACATTTAACTTTCATCATAGTGAAGAACTCTGTTTAATAGTGTAATCCAGCTCTTAGTTGTTGGCCTAGTATTCTGACTATCACTCTCTGCACTCCTCTAAAGGGAGGCAGATGCACCAACAGTTTCCACTTCACAAAGTTAACCATTTGGTGCTCCTAGTAAGTGAATGAACTAGCTAAATCTGGGACTGCTCAACCTGGACTGGACATTTGAGTTGTTCACAACGACTAGACTTGCCAACTTCTGGGGTCTGGGATTAGCTGTGCACTGACCACTTAGACACCAGTTCCAGACATGATGAAAATGTATTGAATGCTTCATTCAGCCTGATCGATCAGGACCACAAAAAAGACTCCAGAGCCTAAGTGTGGTACCAATCTTATAGGAAAAATCAGGTCAAAAGTTTAAAAGGCAGGCAGGGAAGTGGCATAACATGTTTGGCTAACTAGACAAAGTATCATCAGCTAACTTTTAAGCTGATTAGTCATGATAATCTTACTATGTGAAGTAAGAGGGGCAGTGCATAGATAGTAAATTGGGGGAGGGGGGGCTTCCCATACCTTGAGATAACAGAGTATAAGTAATTCAACCATAAGTTTTTGGGTTATCAGTGACATTCTTTAGTGTCAGCCAAAGTGATAACTCCTAAAAAGTGGATGAACTTAAATCTACCTGATGAGCAACACAGGCTACATACAAAATGGCTGCAGTTATGTCAGGCCACATCACCAACTCTGAAGGAACTTCGGTTTTAATCCCATACATCTCCTTACATTAGAAATATTTTTTCTACACTTTACCAAACTTCATCTCATAAAATGTCACATACCATCGGCTTCATTAACTCTGCTTCTAAGTGTAGGCCACTAAACAGGATTTCTCAATTTGGGCAAAACTGAGGATTTCGATAATTTGGTTAATTCTTTTGCTATGGGTAAGAACTTTTTTATGTTCTTGGGTGCTTAGAACCTCTCTGATTTCTAACCACTAAATGTTAGTGGCACCCATCCCCCAATCAAAAATCTCTCTAAACACGACCTGTGTCTTCTTGCAGGCAAAACAAATTCATGGTTGAAAACTATTCCTGAGGACGCTTTGAACACGTAAGTAAATAGCACACACATACATTTCTACAGAGATATCATTGGCTAAAAAAACCACTAGAAACAGCCTATTTCTACTTCAAGAGAAGAAAGTTTATTGAAACTATGGATTATAAAGAAGTAACAGCAATAAGCTAAGCAAAGAAGTACAGCTATTACAAATAAGGCCTGTGTACTAACTTGGACTAATCTCTTTAGTGGGGTTTGGGGGGGGGGTAACTCTGAAAAAAAAGCATGCCTAAGGAACTTAATGTGGAGGTTCCTCAAACAACTTGGAAATAGAACATCTACCTGAAGACCCAGCTATACCACTCTTGGGCATATACCCAAAAGACACCCCACCATACCACAGGGGCACGAGCTCCACTATGTTCACCTCAGCCTTATTTGTGATAGGCAGAAGCTGGAAACAACCCAGCTGTTCCACAACAGAAGAATGGATACAGAAAATGTGGTTCATTTACACAATGGAATACTACTCAGCTATTAAGAACAAGGACATCATGAGTTTTGCAGGCAAAGGGATGGAACTAGAAAGTATCATCCTGTGTGAAGTAACTCAGACAGACTCCAAGGACATACATGGTATGTACTCACTAATAAGTGGATATCAGCCAAAAAAGTACAGAATACCCAGGATACAATCCACAGAACTCAAGAAGCTTAACAAGCTGAAAGGCCCAAGTAAGGATGCCTCAATCCCACTTGGGAGAGAGAAGAAAACAATCATGGGGCAGAGGGAGGGAGGGACCTGGTTGGGAGTGGGGACAGGGAGGGGGAAGGGAGAACATGATCAGGTATTGGGGGACAGGAAGGGAAACAGGACTGAAGCCCTGAGGGCCAGCAGAAAGAATGAAAACAGACACCTTTGGGAGATAGGAGTTGGGGGGGACCCTCTAGAATATACCAGAGACCTGGGAGGTGAGAGACTTTGGGTTTGGGACCCAAAGGGAGGGTCCTTAGATGATATGCCCTACAGTGGGGAGAGGGAACTTGTAGAGTCTACCTCCAGTAGAAAGACAGGCATCAAGTGGAGAGATGGGGTTGCTGTCGCACAGTCAAAAACTCTGACCCAGAATTGTTCCTGTCTAAAAGAAACGGCAGAAACGAAAACGAGCCTGAGGGAAAGGAGGTCCAGTGACAGGCCCAAATTGAAATCTAGCTCAGGGGGAAGGCCCAAGGCCTGACACTATTACTGATGCTATGGTGTGCTTACAAACAGGAGCCTAGCATGACTGCCCTCTGAAAGGTCCAACAAGCAGCTGAAACAGTCAGATGCATATTCTTACACCATATAATGGACAGAAGCTGGGGACCCTTGTGGTTGAATTAGGGAAAGGCTGGAAGAAGCTCAGGAGGAAGGGGGCAACCCTATAGGAGGACCAGCAGTCTCAACTAACCGGGATCCCAAGATGAGTGGAATCCTAGAATGACTGAATACATTTTAGGGAGAGACATTTTGCTCTAGATCCAATACTTTTCTTTCTGGTTGAGAGTTAAAGGAGTCCAAACTATCAAAACTATTGAGAAACTGCTGGTATTTTTAGCTTGCTAGCAAACTGTGAGAGTGGTAGTACAATCTATACTATGCTTTTGTCTTTTAAGGAAATTAGTAATGTGAGTACAGAACTTAAAAAAAAAAATCAGAGCTGACTAAAAACCCAAAGCACAAAAACTGTGGAGCAGAGTGTGGTTGTGGTTGTGCACACCTTTAATTCCAGCACTTGGAAGGCAGAGGCAGGCAGATTTCTGTGAGTTCCAGGACAACCAAGGCTATACAGAGAAACTCACAGAGAGGTGATTTAAAGTACCACACCTCCTTGAGGAGCAAAATCACAAAAATCCCCACAAGTCTGAAAGCCACCAGAATAGAATTACCATAACTATTCAAACACACCTTGGGGATTTAGAGTTCTTTAGTGATGTTACTTAAGACAGGCTAGTTCAGAAGAACACAAGGGGTCATTGGTACTATGATAATAAATTTGAGTTTTGTTTTTTTTTTCTGACCAGATTTTCAAGTCACTGACAGAATATCCTTTCTTTTTACAGTGTGTGCTAGCATCAGAGGATAACATATGCTTTCTTTACTCCTAAACTGCATTGATACACAGAAAACAAGACTGAGAAACAATACCACTATCACCAACAAATGTATTTTTCACATAGCATGAAATTGGGCCCCAAAACCCTCTGTCCAGAGGAGTAGCCCTAATTCCAGACTCACAGCTGAGAAACTGGAGAAGAGCAAAAGTGTGCAAAGTTCTTTGTTAGGACACAATCAGGGAATGTTGGAGAAGAGATGGTTCACAAATGCTCTTTCCATTTGTCTATTATGAATTCTATATCTCGGCATGAGACATGTACAGATGAAAACGGTATAGTATCAGAAATGGCAAGTCAGCACACAAGAGTAGGCACAGTCTGTGGAAAGCTCAATTACAACACTGCTCTGACAGTGAACAATGTAATACATGTAAAATATACTATGTAACACATATAACCATAAGACTCATTTTTAAAACTCACTTTCCTGGTTATCTGAAAAAGACATGGTACTAAATGTATTATTTGTATACTTGTTTTTATATAGCTACTTTTTCTTTAAGAAAAAAAAATTCTTACCAGATATCATGGCACTTATTTTTATTCTTATAAATCTTATAAAAATTGTCATCTTTAATTTTGTTAATTCTATATATGTATGATTATGATATAATCATGCCTTACACTTTGAACCACCATATGCCTGGTGCATGTGGAGACCAGAGGGAGGCAACAGCTCTCCCAAAACAATGGACTATATGGTACAGACAGTTGTTAACAGCAGAGCCATATCCCCAGCCCTACAACCTTTGCTCTAATGGTACAATTTCATCAATGAATTTTGTAATACTTTATTGTTATAAACATTAAGTCTCCTCACTGTGTGAATGTATCAGAATGTTACTGAAAAGCAAAACAAACAAAACACCAACCTGTTATTCAGCACTAATTATCAAATTATTAGGACATCTTTAATTAGAATTCCCAAACATGTCTATACATGTCTATACATGATGATGACATCTGGACCACCTACCTCAGGTGACTGTGGAGAGAATTAAAATGGTAAATAGTTAATACTTTTAGCAGACATTTATATCCAGGCTGTAAAAGACTATGGACTCTAAAATTTGTCTTTGCAAGCATTCTGCTCTCACCTTCAGGGCTCCTCTTGTGGCTGGTGGCTGCTTATCTCTGGGTAAAGCATAAACATTTTCACCTTTTAAAGGATTTATTTATTTATGTGTTTTATGTATGTGCCTATTTTGTCTACATGTATACTTGCACATTCAAAGAAGGCATCAAATTCCATTATAGATCGTTGTGAGCTACCATGGAAGTGCTGGGAATTGAACTCAGG